TTATTATTTCACGAAAAAAATCGGTTCAAAAATTTTGTAAAAAAATAAAAGCGACTTTTGAAGCAGTATCTTCCCGCAAAGCTTCAAATTTTTCATCTTTTCAAGAGTGTCTTATAATACTTACTTGTTACTAGTTATTGAGCCGTTATTAGTCCACCCACTTCTGACAATGAGTAAAATCTTTTCCTTTCAGGACACAGTAGAGTATCGAAAAAAGATTCGTCTCCTAAAAGTACGTATGCTGGATGGCTCAGTAAAAACGATTCCAGTGGATGAGAGTCAACCAGTCGGACAGCTAATGGTTGGCGTTTGCACGAAAATTGGTATCTCCAACTACGAAGAGTACAGTTTGGTGAGTTTTTGCTCCGGTTTTCTCAGTTAAGCAGTAACTTATCGTACTTTTTGGAGTAAGTTGTGTAATTTCTCATACAAAATTTGTCTTTTTGCCAAGAACTTTGATAAGTTTTTCCAAATTTTTCCAGCTTTCAGCATAGATTTTCGGATCTTGAATTCTTGAATTTTTACTTCCAGGTCCGAGCAACCGAACCAGATTCACGAGGATCCATGATGAATCTAAAAGATGACCGATCTCGTGTCATCGATGGAGAAAAAGGAAAAGGAATGATGGGCACCCTTGGCAGGAAAAAAGAACAAAAACTCGAACAACTCCGGTTTGTCATCGTGCTTTTATCGTTTTTTCGAAACGTTTTCAGCTCTCAAAGCACATATCTGCAAAGAGAATGATTAATGGAAAGTGTTTACTTTGAAGATGAGATATTGCAGTAATAGCATCAGAAATGGATCGTGGTAGGTTATGGGTGATGATTGAGGTGTGGATAGATAGTAGAGCACTTACAGCTCTTAGTCGGTCTTGGCACAGTGCCAAGAATTTTTTTCGAGAAGTTCGGTGTGAAAAAACTCTTTTAGTTTATTTTTACCATAAGTTCAGCTTATACCTTGAGCCTAACCCTACGCCTAAATAGCGCATTTTATTTTATTTTTTTGACGACGATTATAAATTACTAAATGACGAATAATCCTTTGCTAGCCCAAAAAA